CAAAACTTATTACAATTATTCGAAGTTAAGGCTATAAAGGTTGGTACTACAAAAAAAATAGTAACTAACTTTAATCACTAATCACTACTACTACCATTGCTATTAATTAGTTTATTTAATAGTGTTCAGTTTGTGTTCAGTGTCCACTGTAATGAGTAATAGAATAAAATAGAACAATAATACTTAGCTATTTTAGTTACTACCACTGGTTCTGAAGAAACTTCTGTACTATGAAGAACCAGCAAGAAACACAGCGGGAATATTTTTGAACATTTATTTACATTAAAATTGTAATATAAAGACATTTAAAACCAGCGTGGTAGCGATCACCTCATTAATTATCATAGTTGATTGTTATCAATCATCTTCTTTACAAGTATTAACAAACACAAAATCAACCTGACGGCAAGTGGGTGCTACGGTCGACAGACACCTACATCTATCTTCGATTAAGAATCACAATGCTGATCCTTGCCAGCCCTGAGAAATAGACGGAATGCCTCATTTCCAGTAAAAATGGTCTCTGGTTCTCTAAACTCACCATATGAAACAGCGTCATTAACCATAATCATTTTGTATGTGAGCGTGATCCTTCCCCAGTCGAGTCGACGGATTCGTGATACATCTATAATAAAGCTGCAACGTGGTTCTATTACTTACAACACTGTAGCATAATGTTGAGTCGGATGCCTATTTTATTCTGTAATAATGATTATAATATTATTATATGTATGTGGTGCAATCATGTAATACGAAGATCCAAAATAAAGACAAATAAAGATGTTATTACTATGTAGCAGCAATGTTGATCGTTGGGCCGTGGCATAAAAACAGGGAGATTTCCCGTTGGGCAAGATGTTTGACCCAGAGAGTAGCCACTCCGTGTGGTGGTGAGACAGAGCTATTCTACACTACTTCGAAACTACGATTTAGGCTGTGTTTCCCTTGTAGTGCAACGACAGTGCCACAAGCGTGTAGTGGCGAAGGAAGAATATCTACTAATCTATATTATCCTGTGGGTGTTGTAAGAGCTGATGAATGCAAAAGCAGCAAACCGGGAGACGGGCATCTTATGCTATTAGGAAGACGCTTGTCAAATACTGTCAAGCGTAGTAACTTTGCCAAAGAACTTTTGCGGTAGAGTCATACCGCAGTTATATTACTAATATAACTTTAGCACGAATGTGTCGTCTCGACCGGGGAAGGACCACGCTCTCACAGAACACCAGCGTAAAATGGTAGCTTAATGCTGCTGTGTTTCGTACGGTGAGTGCAAAGAACCGGAGACCCTTTTTACTGGAAACGAGGCATTCCATCTTAGTGCTCACGGGTGACAACGCATCTGCACATTTTTTTATATATAATATTCATGTTTTAAAAACATCAAATAATACATTTATGAAAAGATTTATAAATTAACTAATCATCAATTAATTCATTTGAATATAATGCAGGCATTGTCTCCAATCCCCCCACATAGAATAACATTCAAAATAATTTTTATTCACTAAGAAAATTTATGGACCTAAACTACTCACTGCAGTGACAGGCAAATGGATGTCTAGAGCATTTTAAATCTGTTTAAATAAGAAAATAATTAGTAGCTATGTACAATAAATATTTACTATCATAATGAAGGCACACTCAAATTCTTATGTAATAATGATTTGTAAACTATGTCCCATGTTGTTATTAAAATATAAATAATAAATATAATATACTAAACATTTTTAGTGAGTTAATTTAACAAATTCTGCATCAACACATATCAAATTTCCAATGATTTGTTAAAAAATTATTAGTGTTATGTCTCACTTTAAAAACAATACACATTTCTAGCATGTTTACACAATACACTCATTAGCAGATGTTAGCGTTAGTAAAACTACATTTTGTTTTTGAGTTACATACAAATATTTCAGTAAGATTTATCAGAGTTCCTCTGATCCTTCTTTTTACATTAATTCTATGAGTCACTGTGACTTATATTAATGACAATTACATTTCTATAAAAATGTATTTACTAAAACACATGAAAGTAACTTCATTTTAAACTATATTATATTATTTACATATTTGTTTCCATTTAAAATCTGTGAGTAATTGATTAACAAGTGCAACTGCATTACTCATACTTGAGGTAGGGCTTTGTGTCAGGAGCTGCAGAGTGCTGCGAGTGCGCTGGCCATGCTTCCGGTGGCCAGCTATATACTCGTAGTTCTGCTCCATCCAAAAGGCCCCAGCCGAGTAATTGTGAACGAGAGCCTCTTTCCCGCTTTGGTGATGCAGTCGAAATATTAACTGACACACCCTTGATAATGTGGTCCTGCCCGCACAATCACTGAGCCACTTCTGGATCTAAGAATGTGACAAAGCTAAATGCACGTAAAGGTCGGGGCACAAACACATCTGTCATCTGGCCAAAGGCCCCGAAATACTCGCGTAAATCATCCGCAGTGAGGTTTTCAGTACATCGCCCAACAAAAACCTTGCGAAGTGCAGCTGCTCCACCACCTTTACTATTGGGAATGCGTACATCACACCATCGCCCGTCAGTCATATGTCGTCGACCGAGAGCACGCAGTTGAGCTTCATACTCGGCAAACTTGATGAATCCAAAACCTTTGGAAAGACCCGTTTTTGCGTCACGTTTAACTTGAACGATTAGTACGAGTAGCTCACCAAAGGAAGAAAAATATTCCCGTACAGCATCCTCTCCAGTTTTCCACGATAATCCTAGTACGATAAGGTCGGAGCAACGTGGACGCGGTGGGGGACAGAAGTACCGATGAGCTGCCCAACCTCCTGGCGGTGGTGACACACGGTCCTCAACGAGACGTAAACCGCGGAGACGACCACCAGCGCGATAAAGTCCACAGCCCCAGCAAATTAGCTGTACTAACTCAAAAGCAAAGAACCGTCTTCCTCAGTCTGCTCATGAGCTCGTCCTGCTCGCCCTCACTTACCAATACGTATTCTATCGACATTTCGCTCACTAAACGCCGCGACCTATTGCGATCCTCATTTTGTTTACATGATCATTGGGTGGCAGATTCTGCTACCTCGTCAATTTAATGAGATCCAGGTCTCTTAATTACTTCTAGGTAAAATTATCTAGGACGTAATGCGTGACGTATGACGTGACCGTGACGTTTCCATATATACCACCACCATTTTTTATATGGACCACAGCAGCCACTTACCATCAGGTGGACTGTGTGTTCGTTTGTTACCCTATCCCATATTAAAAAAATTAAAAATATTATTAAATCGTTTGAGAAAAGCCGCCTCAAAATTGTAGAATTAAAACGCCAATTGTGCAAAGAGAAACCTACAACTCATCTGGCCAACTCTACTGTCACACATGCCAAAGGGTATTTAAGACCAAGTTCGGTCTAGCAAACATGATAGGCAAAATCCATAGCTCCTAGGGTCACCATCGTCGAAATCGATGTGAAGGACTTCATATTTAAAACTCATATAACCTAGGCAATCTGTGGGGAGACCTATGTTCAGCAGTGGACTTTTGATGGGCTGGAATACCCTTACGAGGATGTTTATTTCTCTCTTACGTATCTTTTTCCGACATTCTTTTTATAGCTCGGGTTGGCCCAATATTTTTGTCAGCTGTGGAAAATAAAGTTTTGCAACGAGGAAGAAATTATTCTGGTAGACGTGAACTCAACTAATAACTTTTGAGTTCGCAGTTTAATGCAAACTTTACAAAAGAGGTTTAAGTTTTAACCTAGGTACATATTTACTCCATACTTGCTGGTATAGCAAAAGTTTCTAGAACACGTTTTAGAATTGGAGAGTTTGTAAACATCTACTGTCGATTTTAGTATAAGATTAATGGTGTTATTTAAAAGCTCGTGTTTATACTGAAAACTAACACAGTAATAATTAGTTTACGTACGATATACGATATCATCATAATTATCGCCGTATAGTTGCGGCGTAAGATAATACCCAACCCTCTTGCATAATAATGATTTTAAGGATTTTGACGCATTTAATTTTAACTTTTCAATCCCTGGCGTTTCAAAAGTCTTTAGGTGACAAGACTTCAAGAGACTTCAAACGTGACCACAGGAAATCTTATGCAGCAGTGGACTTTTAGAGGCTGTAATTGATGGATAGATGAATCTCTGTTTTATCTTATTTAGACAGTAAGAATATCCACCAACCCATACAAAATAGGCTATAGAGGTGTGTCTGGGTCATGCTTAAAAGAAATCCATAGTCTCTGCCTAACCCTCTGGGTGACATTCGTAAGAGTTTTACAATTTTACATTGTATAACAATTTATACTCGTATGTAATATAATATTACATATTAGTAACACAACTTCTGTTATTAATGAGGGATTTTATAATAAGTGGTGCAAAATATGCTTGTCGAAAATATATAATTCTTTTTATTATGACCGAAAAATATAGAAATCTGTAACAGACAAAAATATTTTGACTCAAAGGATTTATAACGACGACATTTTATCCACTCAAAACAAATCGAATCCTATATATGAAGTTACAGTTAAATGGAATTGAAAAAGTAAATGGATATATTTTCTTTTGCCATAAGAACTGAATCCAGTAGTTTTGACAGGTTATCATAACTTCAAATAGTAAAGTAAGTTACAATAGCAACAAAGTAGGAAATTCTTGTATTAAATTATATTAAATTTTTTGCTGCAATATAATAAATTCTTTGTGAAATTATCTGACGGATTGCTCTAATGCCTGCTACATACGTAACGATTTATCGTAGCGATTTCAGACTGTGCAGATAAATCGAACCTTCCTAGTGCATGCAGTGCTCCACCAATACGTGACCCTGCAAAGACACCCCCGAACCACAATGACCCTCCGAAGGCCACAGCAACCACTTACCATCAGGACCGTTCTTCACCCTATCCTATAAAAAAAAAAAAAAAAAAAAAAATATCGACGTCAATCGGGCAGTTCTCCGCAGAAGCTCGCTCAAGATATATGTTAACAATGGAAGATTATGACGCACTTGCTATATTAGGCCTGGTTATTAGTTTAAACAAAAAAAAGAAGCGGAGTCTATGGTGTAAAGACTGGCTTATGAAAAAGAAGCAATTCTCTCATACCAACTTGTTATGTGAGTTGAAATTCGCTCCGCAAGATTGGCATAACTATTTAAGGATGAATGAAGAGGCATATTTAAATCTGCTGGCTTTAGTTTCTCCGCTAATAAAGAAACAAGACACTGTAATGAGAGAAGCTATAAGTCCTCATGAAAGATTAACTGCTACACTGCGATTTCTAGCTACAGGACGTTCCTACCAATATATGAAGTTTTCTACAATAATATCACCGCAAGCTCTTAGCTAAATAATCCCTGAAACCTGTGATGCTCTGTACGAGGTTCTACGGAAAGATTACTTAAAGGTAAGGAATGAAAAATACTGTATTAATCAACAAATTATTTATTAATTAAACTTTTAGGACGTATTGAAGAACATTTTACGAATAAGTTACTTTATCATCTTAAAACTTACTAAATAGGAAGTAATTGTATTATCAGATTGTGTATGGTCTGGCTCTACTGGTGATGTAAATTCCAATGATGATTGAGTGTGTGGTTGAGTGAAAAGATTTTTAGTGTGTGACTGAGTGTAAATGACTTGAGTGTGTGACTGTGTGACTTATTGGAAAGGTTTTGAATTTGTGGCTGAGTGGAAAGGTTTTGTATGTGTGGCTGAGAGAAAAGTTTTGAATGTGTGGCTGTGTGGAAAAACTAGTATTTGCAAAGTCATCATATTTTCTTACAGTGTGTGATATAGTTAAGCAACCCATTTCAGCCAAGAACAGAGTTTCATTAATTATTTTTTCTGCTATAATTCTCTGTTCTTTTGGTAACTCTTGTAGTTTCATCCCAACATTTTTAAACTTCAAAACGATTATTGGGTTCTTTAGGCCTTTTAAAATGATCATTTATGGACTTAAGACGTCTTCAGTTAATGTTTTTTTTTTTGGTCTTGGCCGAACACGACCCGAGATTGATGTAGCTCGTTCGCTGTCAGAACAGTTTGCCGGGGTCGGTGTGTCTGATTCGTTGTCGGAATAGGCCAGTGTTGGTGTGTCTTGATCGCTGTCTGGACAATCGTAGCTCGTTGAGCCGATGCCGGTGGTTGACTGCGTCTGTAAAATAGAAGAACTATTATATTCCTGAAGTATTATATAGTATATACTAATCATGTACTCATTTTGTTTCAGTTTCCAAAAACAGAAGAAGAGTGGAGAATAATAGCGAGAGAATTTGAGCAGAAGTAGAACTTTCCTCACTGTTGAAGTGCTATTGATGGCAAGCACGTTGAAATCGTGCCCCCAAGTAACAGTGGCTCGTTTTATTATAACACATAAATATAGACATAGTATGGTATTACTAGCAATCGTTGATGCAAAATACAGATCCCTGTTAGTTGATTTTGGGAAGGGTTTCCGATGGCGGAGTATTGTTGAATACAAAATTTTATGAAAAACTTGAAAAAAAGGCGTTAAATATTCCTACACAAGAAAGGTTACATAATAGTCCACGAATACTGCCATATGTATTTGTATCTGATGACGCGTTTCCTCTAAGAAAGGACATGATGAAGCCATTTCGGCAAAATGACTTAGATAGTAGAATTAAGAAGATATATAATTATCGAACATCGTGAGCATGCCGTATAGTCGAAAACGATTTTGGTATACTAGCGGCGAGGTTCAGAATTTACAGAACACAAATGAATATGTTACCTGAAACTATTGGGTCAGTCGTAAGAGCAACCTGTGCTTTGCACAATTATTTGATGTCATTATCGCTTAATTCATACGCTCCTTCAGAATGTTTCGATAGTGAACATTATGAGGAAGGTACGATAACGTCAGGATTCACAACAAAGGACTCAACACTTGAACCATTACAAAGAACTACAAAAGGCTGTACAATTCAAACAGCAAATCAGATAAGAAGTCAATTTTAGCGTATTTTGTAACTGAAGGGAAAGTTCCTTGGCAAGACAATTTTGTTCATTAATGTCAAAATACAGGACTTGTATTCGAGTAATATAATTAAGCAATAAATATTTTTTCAGAAATAAAAACTTACCTCATTTTCGTCATCATCTATATTCGATGTAGATGGTCTCGGTACTTCTTGATCGTATAAAAAACTCAATAACTCAAAGTACCATAAACGAGGTTTATAAATCTCGTCAGTCCCTGCTCCAGATTTACACGATTTTTTTATTTTATTGAGCTCTTTTTTATATGTAGTTCGAAGATTATTAATCTTCTTAACCACTGTATCCCTGGTGGCATTTGGATCTATGGGTTTGTATTTTTCGATTAGCCTGTCGTAGGCGGCATTTTTTTTGTTGCGGTCGTGGTAATCCTTACATGTAGTCTTCCAAAGGCAAGTTTCGTTTCTGTAGCTTTCTATAAAATCTTGAAGTAGTTCGCGGTGTCCAACTCTTTCGTCTTCTGACATGTTTCTGTGAAAGCGATGTGCACGTGCGAACACTAGCAAGCTCCGTGAAGTACTGCCGAACTGAGCGATCGCCGTTCACACGCAACGATAAAACTGTGCAAATGTAATCGACAACGATCTATCTGACAGCCACCGACGAACGATTATCGACAACGATTTTTCATACACTCGATCGATAAAACTGCGCAAACTGGTCTGCACAGATTTATCGCTACGATAAATCGTTACGTATGTATGAGGCATAAGTTTCCGCTACTCGGCATATCCCTCCTGTGTTTCGTACCATAAATGCCGTAAATTGTTACTGTGAAAAATATTAAAAAGTTCTAATGGCTTCTTTAGACACAAACACTTAAATATTATGACATTTTGATTATACATATACCTTAATTTAAAACACTTTGCATATCACTTTCCTTTTATCGTTATTGAGGAGAGTGTGGTAGTTGTTATGTTGAAATGAACTATCCTTATATATTTTATCGCGTTTAATTTTTTTATTTTTAATTCCCGACGTTTCGAGTGTTTTACAGCACCTATGATCACGGGGAGGGGGCGGGGGGCGGAGACTGAGGTGTTTGACATCCCGATGTCATACTTAGCCTGGCTACCTTTAGGTTTAAAATATTATAGGTATATTATATGTAATAAGAATATATTATATATTCAAATATGACATTCGGGACGTCAAACATCTCAGTTCCCCTCCCGAGACCGTGGTTACTGTTAAACACCCGAAATATCGGGAATAAGAAAGTAAATTAAATAAGTAAAATAAACGCGATAAGATCCGTAAAAATAGTTTTATTTAATTCAACAATATCATTATCATCATATGCCATTTTTTCATTCCAGTAAAACACTGTACAACCCATCTTTTCATTGAAGCATCTTATATACGTGGTAGAGCCATGCTGCAATTATATTAGTAGTATAGCACGAATGGGTTGGCTCGACCGGGGAAGGACCACGCTCTCACAGAATACCAGCGTAAAATAGTAGCTTAATGCTGCTGTGTTTCGTATGGTGAGTGTAGAGAACCGGAAACCCTTTTTACTGGAAACGAGGCATTCCATTTTAGTCCTCACGGGTGGCAACGCATCTGCATTTTGATTTGTAAACGAGGGTGGATCTAGATGTCTATGGACCGCAGCAACCACTTACCAACAAACCAACAACCAACATGTGGACTGTGTGCTCGTTTGTTACCCTATCCTATAAAAAAGCAAAAAAAAGTCAATATTGACTGTACTCTCAGTGGTAAGTCGATATCTTTATGATTCCACTGTCTTACAAAGAACTAATATAGTTTCGTGGAGTCAATTTGTCTTACTCAAAACAATAAACAAGTCCACTGCTGAACATAGGCCTCCCCCAAGTAATGCCACAAAGCACGGTCCTGAGCCACCTGCATCCATCGAATTCCTGCATGGTTTACTAGATCACCACTACCTTGTGGAGGGCTGACCTTTTGCTCACCGGTAAAAGGCTAGCTAATAATGCTAATATTTTTAAGGTGATTTATTTAATAAATACATATAATAAATCAGTAGAAAAGTCGTATTTGTAATTCTAATATACTCTTGAAAAAACAAGCCCAGGGACTAACTAAAGGATACTGAAGCCAAATAAGTGGTTTTTAGATTTTTGGTCTGTCTGTCTGTCTTTCTGTGTGTTCACCATTCACGCAAAAACTACTGGACCGATGAAATTTTGTAAGTTGGTAGTTAGTAACCTGGGACAACTTATAGGCTAATTTTATCCTATTACAGAACTTCTTAAATAAAGTTAAGTAGATTTTTTCCTTTAGATGTTGATTTTCTATTATGATTCTGTTTGTTTTTTTTTTCAATTAAATTAACTTTTGTTTATAATTTAAAACTACGCCGACGATCTACATTTTAGTTTTCAAAACAGCGCAATCTATTATCGTATAAAAAGTATAGTTAGTAAGTCAAGTTATTATTAAAATAATATAAAATATAACTAAATAAATTACATTTATATGTTAAAATAATGAGATATTGTCCTACTACCTGCCTGCCTATATAAAATTATTTAAGTCTATATATAAGTCTAATTTATAACTTTTTTGTTATTTCATTAAAGTGTTATAATTTAAATAGATAATAGTGACGTTTATCAAAAATATAGAAATGTATATGGTTTTTATTTCAATTACTAATGTATATATAAACTGATTTAAACTGGTCTGATTGCAATTATTGCAAAATTTTCAAATTGTAGACTGATCGTATCTTAAAGTAGTCTATCATTTCGTGAAATAGTAGTAGTAATTTAAAACTTTTTGTTGGCTATGTCATAATATGGCTTATCCGAATTAATGAATGGAGATCATTTGACGATATTAAACTCAAATAACTAAACTAAATTGCTATTTCATGATGTTATGGTCATATCATCAAACAGTTTGGATAGCGTATTTTCAACACAAATAGATTTGCAGAACCAAGGCTACTTTATACCTTATTTATATAATAAATAAATGGTCGCGGTTTTCGAGTCGCACCCCAAACTTCTATCGCTGACATTACTAGATAGCATAGGTTTGGCTTTCATTATTTCATCTAATAATAGCGCCATCTACTTATTGCTAAATAAACTAATGATAAGTCACTAATAAAACTAAATAATAGAGGCTAATAAATACTTATCCATTTGGACTCAAAACTTTAAGTACCCAGACCGGTGGCCGCTATCTGGATGATTTACTGCAATTTACACCGTTTGGCGAAATGACTAACGATACTGTTATATTTAATACTATGTACAGAAAACGAAAGAAGTGTGTGATTACGAAAGAAGCTCTTTCGGTGAATATATTGGGTGTCTATCGGCATAGCTATAATTTCATCAACTTCTCTTGTTATCAAGTTATATGATGTAAATAATTGGAAATTAAGTGCACCGTGAGATTTTAACTCTATTTGATAAAATAGTTCTTGGCATGTTGGATGTCTAATTCCTAGGTAAATATGGTCAGCAATTGTGCAAAAGCTTTGTTTTAGTTTTTATGAATTTTATTTAAACAAATATGAGAGCGGTGTATCATGCCGTGAGATTTCATTATGGCATAGGAGCAAAGCGTGTACGATTCCCTCAAGGACAAAAGAATTTGCTTTAGGAAATTTTACCTGCTGACTTATCATGTGTCCGGTGAAATGGTGAACAATAATTTCGTGGGGAAACGTAGATGCCGAAATAGTAAAAAGTATTTTCATTCCAATTTGAAGTTTGTTGCAATTTAAATTTACCACGTTCGTGAGGAAAACATCGCGACGATATCTGCATATCTGGTTCCCCAGTTGAAGTTATCCCGTGTTGGGGTCAGCGTAGCGAAAACTTTTTTGACCAAATTCTGTCTGCGGTCTGCGCCCAGTAATGACGACTGGGTTTGAATTTCATTTTATTAAGAGGATACCTTGAAAATGAATCGTAGTTTTGGGGACGTGGCTTATTCCTTTGTCGGCGAAGCTCACGGACGACTGAGGGAGTGTCAAAATGAAAGTGATACAATGACTTCTTAATACGCAAATTATGAGATAGCTATACCGAGCACACGCTCGGAAAAAACTAAGTAAGCGGCAAACAACGTTTTATTTTTTTAACAAAACTAATTAATGGATTAAAAATGGCTTATGAGAACTTAGATATGATTATTTACTATAACTTAAAAATAATTACACGAATTTATTCGTGAAAATATTGTGGTATCATGGAAAAATGTAACTAATTAGAGCCTACTTTGCAATTTTTTCTATCGTCATAATTATAATATATCATAATTCCTAATTTCATGATATCATGTTTTCCTTTTATGCAATCCAAGATGATATAGTCAAAAATCATATACCACAATTTTGGTTTATAATCTATAAAACTTGAAAAAATATGTGAAGTAGAAAAACCACCAAATTTTCGAGGTATCACCTTAATTAGGGTACCCCAAGCAGATGGTAGCACCCCGACATGTACTCTGTTGAGAAAAGGATATTTTATTTTATTTCAGTAACCTCGGAAACCATTCTTGGTAGAAAAAACAGTTCTTTCAAACTTCCCGGAGTATCAATGCTTTTCATCAGCGATATGTTCTCCTACGCGAGATTTTATGGATCTTTTATCCAAAGGTACGTAAAACAACCCACGTAGAAAAAGGTAAAAATTAAATCCGAAAAAATTGGTAAATTTAATTTTATTTCATGTGTAGTCTTCGCGTAAATATAAGAAATCGTTATGGAACTTCAATTATGCATTTTTGCAGTCTACTCAAACGTAAAAATACTCGTAGTATCAGCTGTTATTTTATGAATCCAATAAATATTAGATGGGACCAATGATATGAGTATCGTATATAAACATCGTATCGTAAATTAATTAACGACAATGAAATTCATCATTGATTTGTTAAAAATAAATTAACTTGAATGATGAAAGAATGAAAATAACACAATTTTGATTCCAAGACAATTGACCGTTTTTATGGATAACACTCTTGCGGATAACTGAAAACATTGGAAGATACGCCTGATATAAAAATAGTAGGTGTACATGAGATACTAATGCAATTATGAAAAACTTACTTATTCACGTGTATAATATGTAGTGGTGATCTGTAACACGGAGATTACCCTAGTAAGGACACCAGTCTCTCACAAAGGTCAAAATTATCTACAACCGTATTATTTAAGAAATAATGTGAAATTATAAACCTTTGTGAAGAGAAAAATAAAATGATGAATGAATATATATATATATATATATGTATAGCCTCTTGGGTCATCTCAGGTGAAGAAGACAGAAGGCGGTGCTCCTCAATATCGCCCGCATCGCCCGCCGGTTTCTCTCCCTTTCCTCCTAACCCTCGGCCGTTTGGTCTCCCCTGCCGAGGGCTTCCATCTGGTTGGATCTTTATTTATTTATGTATTTTTTGTATTTATTTTATTTTATTGATGTTTATGTATATTTATCTTTTCATTTTA